CCCCGGCTCATGCACCGTACGGCGGGAGAAGGGTGTCCTAAACGGCCCCGGCGGGCCGGGCGGGGGCTCCCGGGGCTGGCTCCGGGCACAGCCCCCCGGCCCGACCGGCGCGGCGGGGCCGCCCCGCGCCCTCCGCCCCCGCGGGAGCGCTGACCCCGGTTCTCCTGCGAAAACACCTGTTAAGCTTTAAAGTTCCGCGACCGCCCTTCCGCCATGGGGAAAACAAACCACAGCACCCCCACACCGCGCTTCAGGCTGGCAAGGGGAAAAGTAACACCACCCCCCCCCCCAAAAAAGGCCTTTTATTGGAAGAAAACCCGCGGCAGGAGAGGCGCTGCCTGCGCGCACTGCGCCCCAGCCTTCCGCCCCTCGGTGCGGAGGGTCGCGGATCGCCCCGCCATCGCGGCCCGCTGCGCCTTTTCCGCGCCAGCCCGCGCAACGGCCGCACGGACCCCGCGGCATGTTCCACAACTATTATCGATAATTATAGTGACACCGATGATTACAACAGCATTAACAGCAACAGCAATAGTAGCGATAACGATAGTAGCAGTAGTAACAGCAAGAATAAGGGGCTGCGAGGGACAGGTGACCAAGCGGGGCGGGAGGACAGGGGAGCCGGCGCCGTGCCGCCGTGCGGGACGCTGCGCGGGCGCGGAGTACCGGCGGCCAGCCCGAGGGGAGCCCAGTGCTTACCGGTTCGCGTCACTGCGCGCCTGCGGAGGAGCCCGGGAGGGTCGCTGTAATCCATTTTGCACCCGCGTAGCAATCCGTGTGCCGGAGGAGGCAGCGGCAGCGGGGGCAACAAGCGGCGGGAGAGGAGCGGGGGGCTGGAGGCGGCGCGGCGGCGGGCGCGGGGCTCCGCGCATCCCCCCGCGGGCGCGGGAGAGGAGGCGTCGCGGGGCCGGGGAAGTGTCAGCGCGGCGGCGGCGGCGGGACCGACCGCGGGTTTCGGGGCGCGGGACACAAACATGAGGGCGACTGCCATACACCTCAGCCTAGACAAAGGTTAGAAAAAGAGGGGCTGAGGCTCTCTGAAGGCAGAATGCAGGGGGAAATTCGCCAGGGAAATCAGGAAAAGGCCATGAAAGCGCTCGCTGCCTGCACATGACCAGCCGCAGCCAATGACAAGCCCAAATAGGTCATAAAAAGGTCTATTACCAAGTTGTAAATTTTCTTCAAACAAAAAGGAATTTACTGCAATTCCTTGCGGATTTTGCACATACAGCTTCCCAGCGCCATGTTTCTTTCGCCTGCGCGCTACGCTTTCACCGAGCCCTCGGTCCCGCCCGCCCGCCCCGGGGCTGGTTGATGGGCCCCGCGGGCACGGCCGGGGCGCGGGAGATCCGCGCAGGGGAGCGGAGAGCGGGGCGAGCCCCCGCGCAGCGGCCGCAGAGCCGCACAAAGAGGGGGGCACCGCGCTGTGCCCGCGGGTCCGCGTCTTGCCCCAACGAAAGGGGGCTTTACCCGCACGCCCCCCCCCGCCCTCCCCCGGGCCCTAGAAGAAGCCACATTTTCTTTAGCGCCCACTACTGAAGCCGAAGCCGTCGCCGACCTAAAAATAGTCCGAGCCGGTTCCCCACCCCGAAGTGTGCGGTTCCCACAGGTTGCGCCGGGCGCTGTCATCGCGCCCAAGGCTGCTCGCAGCCTCCCCGGGCGGGCTGCCTCCCCCCACCCCCCGATAAAACCTTCCCGGGAGCGCTCGGACCCGGGGCACCAACAGGGAAAATCCGATTCTTCGAAAGTACTCGAAAAGACTAAATCCGCACCCCCCTGTCCACAGGGAATGCTCGGCTCGGAGACGGAATATTGTGGGTACTTCTTGCTCGATTTGTGTTTCAGGGAATAGCCAGACCCCTCCGTCAGTGGCCTCCGTGTCGTTTGTACCTGCCTCGAAAACAGAGCTATCAAAAATAAACATTCCTAAAGGTGTAGGATCTTTTTTAACACGCTGCTTCAGGCAGTTGCACACCCGTGAATATCACACCCGCGCGGCGTGTGCCTCGGCCGAGGCACCGGCACCTTCGGCGGTGGCTCTGCAGCACCCACGACCGCGCAAATTCCGCGGAAACCAAAGGCGCGGTACCTCCGCGCTGCGGCCATCGCAGGCGGCCTCTCGCCGCCGCTGCCGCCGCGACCCGCGCAGCTACGGCTTTTCCCTGCCCGAATACTGCTGCCTGCTCCGGAGCTCGATGGCTCCGATTTACCCGGCGGCTTACTGACCGCCCGGGCCAATTTCTGCCTCGCTTTTCTTTTTCTTAGCCAGACTCCAAGTACGAACGAGGGAGCGATTCAGCTGCCAGGCTACGGGGGGAAATACCTTAGCAACTACAGCAATTTTGGGTTTTTTTTCGTAATAAATAAGAGAGGGACGATCCCAGTCACCGCTAGGCCTTCGCAAACGATGCGCGCACAAGGCAGTCCGTTTTTGCCTGCGTGGCTGCGTTCCCAGTCGGCCCAGGGAGAGCGACGCTAACGGAAACTTCTTCAGGAATATTTTAATTTTATTCTCTTTGTTTGGAAATTAAAAACAACTACGGCAGCAGCTCTTTGCCAGACAAATATCAGCCTAGGAAGTGCTCCCCTCGGGTGCGAAGGTCTCCGGTATGCGTTTGCCCCCGCAGGCAGCCCGGGTTTGCAGCGGGCGGCACCAGCACGGCAATTCCCTGCGGCGGGGCCCGCCGGGCCCCCGCTGCGCCAGGCCGAGGCTTTTTCCCTGCCCGGAGACCCAGCGCGCCGGTGCCACTGGCAACGGGGATTATTTCGAAAAGCGAGGGGGTTTTACGCGTCAGGGGACTGGGTTTCCTTAAACGCGCCGTCACCGGCCCCACATCCTTCCTGGACACGAGGGGTACCGGCGCATTTATGCAAATCCACGCAGCAAGATGTTTACTTCACCGTTTTGCTGCAGTTTCCCCTCGTTTACAACCTTTAACCGACCACGCGATTAAAATAAACCGAGAACAATAGCTCCGCTTGCTTTTGCCTCCCTCTAGAGCTGGCGCTTTGCAGGAGTGGGAGCGTGCCTGGCTCGGTGGCGGCGAGGGGGGAAGAGGAAGGGAAACGAAATGAACCAAACCCGCCGTAGAAATCCCGACCGCGGGGACGGCGGTTCCCGCTGAGCCGGCTCCGCGCCCGGGAGCGGAGCGGTGGGTGCGGGAGAAGGGCCGGAGCGCACGGCGGGCACGGCGGCGGCCGGAGGCCCCCACCTCCCCAGGCCCCTGGCTGTGAATTTCCGAGCGGGGCCCCGGCTCGGTCCCTGCTCCGTCGAGAGCACGTTCGTTTCTCGGGCAGAAGAGACAAATTCGTGGCGTTTGTCGCAGCGGCTGGCGCGGCTCCCTTCGCGGGACCGTCACTCAAGGGGGCGTGAGGCGGTAGGGAAAAAATGACGCAGAAATCTTGGTAGGGATTTATACCTCATACCTCAGCCCTCTGCCTGCTGTTCCTAAAAAGGACTGCTCTCGGCCGTCCTCTCAGACACCGCGGTCTGCGGGACCCTGCCGCGGAGCGGGAGAAAGGGGAGGGAGGGGAGAGGGGGAGATAAATTAAACCGTTTTACTGATCGGAGCGACCTTCTCTTCCCGCGACTGCGGGGAACCGTGCGGCAGGCTCTGCCCTCGCCGGCCGCGGCCTCCAGCTGGGAAAGGCACCCAAGCCGTGCGCTAATATTTAGGGGGGGAAATGCCCTTCTCTCCGTTTGCGCGTGGTTTGGGACCGCTAACCAGTACAGCTTCCGAGAATCCCCCACGCAAGGCCACAAAAGCTTTGCATTTCTCTGCTCCTCCGCCACCCGCGGGGGAGGCTAGGCCCGGTTTGGCCGCGGCTTGCGTGGCGGGGCTGGAAGCCCCGCACCGGTCGGGAGCGGCCCTGGGGGCCGGCGGGGGCCCGTCTCCCCCCGGGCGGGCGGGCAGCGTAGGGCTCCGCGGGGTAACGGGCCGTGTTCGCCAGCAGCCGCCCCCCTGCCCCGCAGCCCCGGGGGCGAGGGGGGGGCACAGGAAAAGGCGAAGGCAGGGCCCAGGCGCACACGTCGAGGGGGCTCCCGGGGCCGGGCCGCAGCGTGGGCTCAGCCCGCCGGTGGGGCCGCCGTCCCCACCGGCCGCTGCTTCGACCACGGCCCCGCAGAGCCCGTGGCTGGCGGCTCTGGCCAGGAGCGCGGGCGGCAGGGAGCGAAAACCAGGTTTTGCATCCGATGTGCCGTTCCCAGCCCCCACAGAAACACCCAGCACCGGGGGAAGGACGGGGGAAAGGCGCAGGGGAGCGTTAGTCCAGACGCGGAGAGGCTCTGAAGGTTATTGGAGGAGTGGATTACGAAAAGGATAACAGGAAGCCGATAAGTTTTATATTTTAATAAATTTTAATCGAATATCAATAGCAGAAGGTTAAATATATTTCTAAGATCTTTTCTTCAAATTTATTAAATTTATTTAATTTACTCAACATAGGAACAAGAATTAAAATAGTACAAGTGCACTTGTCTTGATTAATAAAGCATTGTTAAATGTCTTGCTTATTGGTATTTATTATTAGGAAGTTTATGTCGTTTCCCGCAATCACCGTCTTTTAAGATTGCAAAAAAAATATATTTTTATATATATATATATCATTAGAAATGTATTGCTACAAACTCTGTATCAAATTTGCAAAAGGAGTAGATGAACTGTTAAATCTAGAGATTGTTCCGGATACAGTTAAAACCAAACCAAACCCCAACCCAAACCAAACCCCAAACAAGTGAAGCACACGAAGCAGAGCAATGTCAAGTGGAGGGACACGGGGTCACTCGTCCCACGGCAGGACCACGTACAGGGGGACACGGGCCGAGATGTCGGGCCATGGCGCCAGTTAGTTTTGATGGCCTTTCACAAAGTCTTTTAGGGCAAAATTTAATTCGTCTGGCCTTCAGGTCTGTCTTCTTCCAGATCATGTGCTTCCTTTTTGGCCTCCCCTTCCTTTCCCTCCTGCCTGGAAGCGGGGAATTTGTCCTTGTTGTTCTCTTTTTTCCATTTCATCCTCCTGTTCTGAAACCAGATCTTTACCTGCCTCTCGGTGAGTCCTAGTGCGTGGGACACCTCGATCCTCCTCTTCCTGGTCAGATAGGGGTTAAAGAGGAACTCCTTTTCCAGCTCTAGAGTCTGGAATCGGCTGTATGTTTGTCTTCCTCTCCTCCTACCCGGCGCTGCTGTTTAAAACAAAAACACAGGGGTTTGGAGGTTGGTGTGGTGGTTCAAAGCAAGGCGCAGGCAGGGAGCGAGGGCTCGGGTCCCTCTGCAGATCCCTCGGGAGAAGCCCCACAGAAACGCAGGGAGAGAAAGCCGAGGGCGCGGAGCAGTCTCGAGCTTTACACGAGTGCGGGAAAAACAGCGATAGCAGATGCGCGAACCGCCTCCGCTCTCCCCCCGCACCGGGGCTGGCGGGACGGAGCTTGCGGGGCCACTCGCCTCTCTGGTGGCCGGCGCCCCCCGGCCCTGCGCCCTTCCCGTTCGGGCGGCCGCGGCGGCGGTGGCGGGAGCCGGGCGGACGTGTCAGCTGCCCCTGGGTCCGAGAGGCGACTTTAAGGCTACTCTTGGGGCGGCAGCCGCCTTCTGCAGAAGTTTCTGGTTGCTTACTGTATCGCTTTATTATCGCAAGCCCCCGCGGCGATAGGAATCGCGGGGAGAGAGGCAGGGAGAGAGGGAGGCAGAGGCAGGGAGCGAAAGGCAGCGAGAAAGAAGCGGGAGGAGGAAAAGAAAGTTTCAAACTCAGACGTGAGATGGAAGCAAATTTTTGACTGCGTCCAACCTTGTGGTCTCATCCAGGGAAACATTTGAGCAGGAGACGAGCTCTGATTTAAGTGGTCTGGTTCCTCGCCAATATTAGCACTGGACGATTTACAGTCAGGATATTGTACCAGCTCGGCCTCTTGCTGTGTCGTAAAAATCTGCTGTCTCTGTAAGTTATCGTATCCGTAAAATTTAGCGGGCTCCCCGTGACAGGTAACCCCGCTGCAGGGGGCAGGAGGCGGAGGCGCGGCGGGGGGAGGAGGAGGCGGCTGGTAGGCGGCCG